GTCAGCTTAATCGTGAACAAAGAATAATAACACCTCGCGTTTGCTCAACAAAAATACGAAGAAAATCACTTGATCAATGCCGAGGTTAATAGAAAGTCGGTCGTGGCAGTTACTGCAACATGAACTTATTTTAGACCCGATTTTGTATTCCATTTTCTCTAATGGTTTCGGAACTCATTATGTTGTATATTTTCTGGAATGTTTTGCCATACAACAGTTTTACTTTCAGAAATTTGTTAAAACTAATTATTATTTTGATCCAATGTCTCATGCTATATCACGGGTTGAGGAGGAGCGTGTTTCTCCAGTCAGTCATACCGAAACAAGAACAAGTGGGATTCGAGCTGTTCTTCTTGGCCCACCTGGTTCTGGAAAAGGAACTCAGGCTCCTCTTCTTGCGGAAAAATATCATTCATGTCATTTATCAACTGGTACGTTCGTGTTTTATTGCTAATGATGGCTGATCTTTCTTTATTATGGGTAATATTATATTACAGGTGATATCTTGCGCGCTGAAATGATGTCCGGATCACCACTGGGCAAGAAAATTAAGGAGTGTATGGATTCCGGTAATCTTGTATCCGATGATATGGTCTGTGAATTAGTCGATTCAAACTTAAACAAGAATGAATGCAAGAACGGGTTCATTTTGGACGGTTTCCCGAGAACTGTTGTACAGGCTGAAAAGGTGGAGCTGGTCAGAATTTTCACAGATTTACTCTAACTAAAGTTTCCTTATTACTGGTCTTTAGCTCGACACACTGTTAGGAAAGCGGAAACAGCCATTGGACGCCGTAGTAGAGTTTAAAATCGACGATGATATTCTGGAACGCCGGATCACCGGACGATTATTCCATATTAAAAGTGGTCGGAGTTACCATACGATCTTCAATCCTCCAAAGGTAATTGGGCCGTATATGGTATTGTTTGAAATAATAGAATTTAGTCAAGAGAAACCACACGTGAAACCAACCTCTCGCGAAGTGACAGCCAGGGAAATGAATGAAGCAACTAATGAGGAAACTTTATCGTGGGAGATAGAGACAGTTATCGACTAAAACAGATATGAAATAATCAGCCATTGATTAACAATAGCGTACAAAACTTTCCATTGGTAATGTAGACTCTACTAATCGGGTACCCTTGAATATGTAGTACAATGCATAGGTTCGTCATGTATTAATGACTCTCTAGGTTCAAGGTTTTTTACTCCATCACTTGATAGTCAGATTGACCTTTATATTAGAACTTCCAAATACTTGGTATTATAGTAATATACAGAACGTTCATTCTCTAATTGAACTGGTTTCGGTACCATGCTATGGTAGTGTGAAGGTTAGTTCTGTATCCCTGACATCAGAATCAATTTCCCGCTTTAAAAAGATTGAATTTGACAGTGACCCCAAAACTCACATAATCTGATTACCCCGGGTGGATTATTTTAATAACTGACAGTGCTGTTATGAAGCCAGTTCCTTTTCTATTTTCCGAATTGCCAAGATACCTTGTGATTGGAATGAAAGGGTTCTTTGCTAGGAGGTGATTGCGGTGACCAAACAGTCTAATTTGCTCAATGCTAATCATTGTGGTTTTTATGACATATTGCTATCCAAATGTTAAGGTGATTTGTTCACTTTGAGCCCAATCGTGAAGAATTCAGGTGCCAATGACCGACGACGTGACCGGTGAACCGCTGGTTCGTCGTAGTGATGATAACGTAGACGCGCTACGTAAACGTCTGTCCGTTTATCATTCAATGGTGGGTTTGAATTATGCCTATACTTCAGTCACTTTTCATTTGCTGCCAATTAAGTATTGAATAGGTAGTAAATAAAAAGTACCTACATCGTCATTTATCTACACCTTAACTAGGTTCAACGACGATTTGTGCTCACCAGATCAACCCAGTTGACTGGTGATTGTCTTGATTGTTGATAGCACCTATAGGTTAAAACACGGCTGAGAGAAAGGCGAAATGAAGGACCCACATAGTGTGGTGGTGAGCACGTTGGCCCCTGGAAAGGGCAATATCGGGTTCGATTCCCACCGCCGACACCTGCGGTCCGGAGTTTTGCAAATGTCTCAGCATCGTTGTGGTTATACCTGTACCTTTCAAAATATGAGGCCATCGTCATATACCATTCAGTTGTTTGGAATTTCGATATAATGTATTGCAGTTTGATAGTACTGGTGCTACATTGAAGCGGAGTGTTATAACAAACTAAACCATCTGTTCTAGACAACTCCATTGATCGGTTATTATCAAAAACGTGGTCTTCATACCGTCGTAGATGCAAGCAAGCCCGTATCTGACGTGTCGCTAAAACTCGATCAGATTTTCGCCAAAATAGCTTTAAGAGAGGTATAGATCCTAATCTACGTTTCGATGCTGTTGTTCTCCATATAAGTTTGCTTATTGGGTTTCTTTAAGTTTAATGGAAAAAATCGTTTTATAATCGAATTCAATCCTCATTTTCAACTAGTAGATTGATAACCTGTAGGAAACTAGTAGTATCATACCTTGAGTTCCTGAGTGTTCCTCGGCGTTGAGTTGCGATTTAAAGCGGAGACAGCTTTCGATGAGGTCACATCTATTCTGACAGTGATTTTGACTCCAAAATTTCTACTTTTAAATTTTTCCTCACACATTTGACATAAATAGTGGAACTGGTTGGAACCGATTCTGAATTACCAAGTTATAAATGAACACCTTAGAACGAGACACCATAACTGCATTTAACCTAAGAGGTAGTGACAGTGGTGTGCTAGAGATCGGGTGACATGTAACGACGAATAATTCAGAACGAAATAAGTAATTTTCTTTAATCGGGATTGAGCTTTCAGAAACGCGCTGCGTTCGTTTAACATCGAACTTGTCGGTAAAACAGCATTCCATTCCGTCATATTCGCCGTCAGAGGTCACTATCTAATCATTTAATAAGTGAAAAGTGTCGAAATTTCTATGGACATGTTTTCCTTTGAACTGTACTATTCTGCCCATTTCATATGTATCACTTGAATTTGTTATGTTCTATAAAGTTTATGAGACCGTGCTGTACGAGTCATTTCGGGAAATTGGACAGTGGTTATCTTATGGAATAAGCTATTAACAAATGGTTCTTTCACTATTGAGCAAGATAAAGCATGTCGTGTTTTCAAAACGCAAGCGATTCTAAACCTCTTAAACAAAAATTTAATTTTAAATTTCATTTTAAATTTCATTTTAAACGAATTTAAACGAAGTGGGTCAACCTTTTGAATTGTCTGCGTCTTTCACATCGGAATATTGGAGTTAATCGAAACCGGGATGTCTGTGTCTTTAAAATCATGTATTGAAAGGTAGACCAATCTTTAACCTTGCTGCAAAAATTACTGGTAGCTTGTACAGATTTTTCGTTTAATGCATGAGGAATAAAGTAACCCGATTTTGTTTTTCGCTTTATTTTCTTTGTTTTTTTTGTCTCATCTATCATTTTGCGATACCCAGTATCCGTTTCCTTGGTTAGTGATTATCCCAACACAATTAGGGATTTTAGATTTATCTCGTTTTCTTTTTCAGCAATCGCGAAGTTGTTTTTTAGTACAGGTTTACTTCCTTTCATGAAGAACACGTATAACACAGCGGTAGCTGACGTTTCGACAATATCGCCTTCTTCAGAGCTTCAAGGGAAGTAAGCGTCTGCTGAATAACAACGCCTCGCAATTTAGATTTAGCTCACGAGTGGTTCATAAGCTCAAGCAGCGAATTGTATGCTATACGCATCTAAATAGCTGGGAACGTTGTGAAACTATCGTTAGCATCTGTAGTCATGCCATTACAGCATCTGTCTTTGTTACCTATCATGATGATTAGGAGGACACGTGTAGCGCAGTGGTTGGAGGCGTCCTACAATACACATTGGGTCGATCCCCACGCCTCAGACTCAACAAGCTTTCCATCCCTCCGGGGTCGAATCACCAAATTGGTGCCAGACTTATCTGGGAGAATAGTAGCACTGGCTCGATATATCAGCAGGCCACCGCGAATCATTGTAATGGCCAGATATACATTCAAATCACCTACAACGATGCTTAATGTTGTCGAATGCATGATGTATCCTTCAGGAATTGGTCAACGCCGACAGCTTTATCCTTTTGTATTTTATCATGATGATCACACAGTGCAGATCGTTTCCAACTGAAGAACATTCTCGGATACTTGGACGGCCCGTCCTCGTTGGTTGTGCGAGTTCCAGCATATTCTCCGCTTTTCGGAGTCTTGCTGGTTTAGTCACTGTCTGTCTCCCTGTTGTTCTGGGGTCAGCCTGGCCGCCCAAGTCTGCTCCAGGTCGTCACCATTACAAGCAGTCGCCGCCTTTGTGGATCAGAAAGAAATTTGCCACCATGCGACTAGTTCGATAACAAGACGGTGGTGGATCTCGGTATTGTTTTACTCTTAGCCGGTCTTCCTGATGGAAGCGCCGAGCTCTTTCTTAAGTTGCGAAACCCTGCCGGGGGATGAATCCCTCCTGTATATCACAACGCGACAGCCAGGACCACACCCAGCTACGATGAGGCGGTAAACCGTTGGAAGGCAGTTGAAAAACAGCAAAATAAGTGATAAATTATGCAGTTGTGACTAACTACAACGGATTGTGCGACCACTAATACAAAAGTTTCTCGTGTATAATGCTGAGATATTTGCAAAACTCCGGGCCGCAGGTGTATGCGGTGGGGAACGAACGCGCGCTATTGTCCTTTCCGGGGAGTAGCGCACTTCACCACCACACCAACCGGGTCCTTCGTTTTGCGTGTCTCTCAGCTAGTTCTATTGATCTTTTGCCATCAGCAATCACCCGTCAACGGGATTGATCTGAGGAGCCCAAATCGGCATTGAACCCAGTTAAGCTGAGGCTTAGCTATAATCACAATCTTAACCCTTTTACAAAATAGACCCACAAAATGAAATGTTTTCACTATTAAACAAATGTGTGTACAAAGAAAACCATTGTGCTCAGCATTTGGAGAGAAATCTTTGGAAGAAAATAGTAGCTGGGTCTAAATCGGTATGTGGAAAAATTCGGTGTGATATTAAGAGCAAGTTAAGTAAAAAGTTTGAAGATCTATCACGCCGCTCAAAAAGGTCAAAAGAAAGGACCACCGCTGGTCAAGTCCCAAGTAAAAGCCCTAAAATAGACTGCGCAACAAAAACATCCAGAGTTACTGTGCTAGGAGGTATAACGCTTCCGGAAAATGTGCGTTCCTTGTTAGAATTGGGTCCGAGTTTTGCACCTAGTCAACCCATTTCTAAACCAATCCTGCGCAGGATCACGTGTAGTCTACATGAACTTCAAAATCAGTTACGTTACAGGGTTAGGCTAGAAAGGTTAGGTAAAGTAGTACCAAGAGGGGAACTACCACCAATACCCTTTCCCCGAACATTCTTTAAACAAGAGCTACCAAATAGCGATATTGACCCTACATTTCGGTTATTTTCGGACGAAATTCTCCGCATACTTAATCACTACCAAAAACGAAA